ATATAACTATTTTCTTAGAACATTTCTTTAGTGAGCAAGGAATTCCTACATTTATAGTGGCAATGGTAGCCAACTTCCATCTATCGTGGAAGTATGGTTATTGTCTTGTTGCACCAAATCCCTGTTTATATGGAGTAGTGGATTAGTGGTAAAATATCTTAAGTAGTTATTTCAAAGCATTTTGAATGTGCTTCCACAAAAATAGGATGTTAACTTTTTCACATATTCAAACTCTATAGAATCATATTATCAACATGTAACCTCTCCTTTATCACAACTTGTTAAGTTCAAATAAGATTCTTACAAGACGGGCTAGAAGGGCGCCAAGGAGGGTAGGTGGATGCCTAAGCGGGTCTATGAGCACTTTCTTAATTTTTAAATGCCTAAGGACTAATCGGGGCAGTGGCCACATGCTTAGCGCTTAGGTAGGAATTTTTAGATCAGTGGGAAAGATTGACAAATTAAACTATATTCCGTGATTAGGAAGGAAAATATGAAAAGTTCTAAGTATTTTACTCTAACAGATCTAATGACTTAAGTAAAAAAAAAAAACTTAGCATCCTAAGGCATCTAAGTCAGTCCAAGAATGTATAAGTTCATTTTGCCTCACATCCAGCTTTTTAGCTATGCATCTTGAACTCCAACCAGGGGTCTGTGATATTGTCCAAAACTTTGAAAGATCAAAATCTTTGAGACAAACACGTAGGACTAGCCGAACTTAGCTAACTTAGAATCAGGCAAGCTTTTTCAAGGGTCATTCCAGAGAAGTTATTCTGAGATGATTCACTCATGGTCTGTTGGTAACTATCTATCTTTGAAGCGGTGCCCACTCTTAAAAGCCTAGTTGGGCAAAATTATGGGACCATGTTTTTCTAAGCCCATGACATGTAGCACTTTGGGTGGCAAGAAAGACTAGAATACCCATGGTCCATGGAGCGTAGTCCGGTGACCCTTGTTTGTAGGCTAGGCTTAGGCTTAGGCCCTTTTAAGTAAGGAAACCCTAATTCAAGTCAAATTAGGATATCTTGGTGGTTAGGCAACATAATCTTTATCCTAAAGAGATTGGGTATCTTATTCTAAATTTCCTTCTAGATAGTTTCCTGATTTAATGGGGATTACTTCCCCTACAAGGACTCTTAAAATACTCTAGCCTGGGTATTTATCAGGACAGATTATTACTTTCTTCATCTTCTCCAAGACACACCTATTATCTCTACGTCTAACAAATGCATGTGCGCTGCCATCTATGCATAGACATGTCCATGTAGAACTCATATCTTCAACATCTCTCCATAGGCTATTCGTAAAGGATGATCCATATGTATTTCACATCACACCATTCTCTTTTAGAACTACACAATAGTTTGGTTCTCCTACTCGAAGATATGTAGGCAATCCTATTCAGATTTAACAACACCCCCTAATTAACCTCATTCTTCCTACGTCGAAGATCATGGGCAATTGATACTAGTTCCTACCTCTGTTCGGTAAAGTGCTCGAATTTGGTTCCACCAGTACCCCCATAGCCTTTCATTCTCAGTTATCTAATCAAGATAGTACACCACTTTTTTATCCTTCAGAATTTCGTGACCTATTAGGTTCTTTGCACTATCTCAATTTAACTCATCCGCACATTGCTTATGCGGTCAATCATATCTTTCAATTCATGTCCAGCTAGCAAATGGACCTCTCATGAGTGACTGCTAAACTGAGATCAAGATGAATAATAACATGATTAAGAACTAGATTGAAAGGCTTATCATAATTGAACCCATGTTGTTGATGAAAACATTTAGCAACTAAATAGGCCTTGTAGCGCTAAACAGAACTATCTGCATTACGCTTAATCCAAAAAACCCATTTGCATCTAACTAAATTTTGAGAGGGATGAGATGAACTAAAAGATCGCATACCATTTTTAAGTATATCATTAAAGTCTTTCGTTATCGTTGTACATCATACGAGATACGTGATAAAACATGAGGTTCAACAGGATCAGAGCTAGAAAAAGTGAGTGCATATGGAAGTGGATAACGTACAGTTTCATTGGTGAATTGCTTGTGTTTAAAATGATTGGTATAGAAGTGGGTCTTCATGGGATGCCTCAATGAGGCACGACTTGGGTGGAAAAGTGTTGTTGGGCTATGAGTGGCTTGTTGCAGAGGAGTAACTAGGACACTAGAAGTGGAACTCACTGACAAGCGCACTGGGCTGAGGTACAAGAGCTGACCCACTAGCACACGTATTAGGTTGAGGCACATGAGCAACAACAGGCTGAACTTAAAGTTGGGCATGGTCTAGGCCTAGGAAGGAAGGTGATGAAGGCGAGCCAGCAACTAGGTTATAGGCTGCACTATGCACAAGAGAGGATAGGTTGGGCAATAGGGGCTGGGCTTCAACAGGCAAAAACTGAATAAGTGGAGAAGATAGAACATGGTTGAGCTTCAAGAGGACAGGCATGAAAATGGTCTGGGTTATAAGGGTAATAGGGCGAGCAATTGGAAATGTCATTTCGTCGAAGTGACATGGTGAGAAATGAAAACCTGATAGGTCTCCAGATTATGGCATCAATATCCTTTAAATTGCAAGTTGTAACCTACAAACATTCTTTGGAACGAGATTCCAATTTATTAGTAGTATAAACTCCTAGGTGTGAGTGACACACAACTAAACGTACGAAGAAAGGATAAATTAGGTGACGACCAAGAAGACTGAAAATATAGACTAGACGAACCAACGACCGAGCATAAAAGAAGGTTAATAATGAAGGTGGCTATGAGAGCTACTTTAACCCAACTGTAGGACTGGGAATAGATAATGTTTAGAAGGAGACAGGTGACTATGGATATATCATGTTGCTTTCATCAAGACCATTTTGTTCGGGGGTATGGTGATACAAGACACGATGAACAATTTTAGTTTTATGAAAAAAAAGTCTTAAATGAATGGTTTATGTATTCTGTACAATCATTGGTTTGAAGATATTTAATGGAGGAGTTAAATATACTTGTCACCATATTATAAATTGATTCAAAATACATGAATACTTCTGATTTGGCATGCATAGGAAAAATCCAAGAATAACGGCTATAGTCAACTGATAATAATACATAATAGCTGAAATTGGAGAGAGAGAGAGTAGAAGAGATCCAAAGATACGAATAAATTAAATAATGCAAAAACGAAGCAATAATTTTATTGGAATCAAAAGGTACTTTGTGCAACTTAGAAAGCGCGCAAGGCTTACAAAACGCCTTATTTAATATAGAAATAAAACCTAAAGACAATTAGATAAAACTTTGGAGGATGGATGATCAAGACGGGAGTGCCATAAGGAAGAGGCGATAACATGGAAGGCAGATGGATGAGACGATGACACAAGATAGAGGTGACCCTCACAGCGACCCTAAAACAATAGAGAACCAATCTAAAAGCCATAAATAACTTGACCAGTCGAATGAACAGGAACGTCCACAAAATTATCTTGAGTAAACTAAGAAGCAGAGAAAAGTTTTTTCTTGAGAAAATGAACATGGAAGACATTGTTTAATTTGAAATAACAAGCTTAAGATAAAAGGAATAGAGTTAGTGTGAATAATAGAAAGAGAAGCCCCGTACTAATGAGAACAGAATTGTTACCAATACAGGGAGATGGATCCTGGAGGGTAGCCCCATCATTAGTCATGTGGTGAGTGGCTCTCGTATCAAAGTACCAGGTAGGATTGTTAGCAGCACCAGGTGAAAAAGCATGATAAGTTGCAAAGGGAAGTAGAAGACGATGAGGACAAGCAGAGATATGATGTTTAGGAGAGTTGCAAAAATTATACCAAAAGACAAGAGGAGTACCAAGGATACCTTGTTGATGATTGGGATGAGGAACCCAATTCTTGGATGACCAGTTCCGAAGACCACCACAAGCACTGTTAAGGCCCAAAAATGTCACATGCAAGCCCAATCCAGTCTCAAGGCCCAACCGTCATACACGAGTCAAGCCTAATCACATGCAAAGGTGCATAATCGAGGAATAAAAATATTCACAATTATGCCACACTATGATAAATAAACCGGTCGTTTGTATAAATTAATCCATGCATATACGTCACGCCAAGCTCGATGACGTTAACTATAATTCATGCTCAAATAAGCCCAAGTCACATGCTCGGGGCTTCCCAAGTGAATTGTGGTCTAAATGGTTATGAAAGTTTATCGGGGCCTATGTGGAGTCAAAATTGTAGAAGACTTTGGGCTGCTTGGGAACTTAAAGATCCAACACCACAATTTTGGAAGCCTACTTAGGTGAGTTTGGGAGAGAACATGCCTACCTTCTCCTTTTATCTGTCAAACCAACCAATCCAATTAGAAAGAAATCGAATCCTAAGCCTTAAGTTCATGGGAAAGCCCAACAAAGCATACACTTAGGTATTTGAAGAAGGTCTTGCCGTACGGCAACCAATTGGCCTAAAATTCAGTGGTGGTGTTTATGTAGTTATTATTTCCAGGATCATAATGTCGTCTCCAACTGACCCGGCCAAGGGGCCATAGGGCTAAAAATAGCTTGGAATGACACGAAAACCGTCTCTAACCGAGGGTCAGGTCAAAACCCCCAAATTAGGCCAGTGGGCTGGCCATCTCCAGTGGGCTAGCTAACCCTCTAACGTCAGAATGTCAAGCATGACTTTGTGGCAGGTGCAAGAATACCACACTTTCTTCGTTATTGTGGCAAGTGGCACACAAAATATGTCTGAAAACCTTATTTTAATATGGTAGTTCAATTTAATTAACCACATTGATTTGTGGCACCCTTATTCAAAGATTACATTTACCTATTTTATATTTTTTAGGATGGAGTTGATCAATTTCAAGAATCATTTGTGATAAAACTCATATGAAAATGAGACCCATACAATACATTATCATTTTCGGTAAGTAAATTTGCCAATCAATTACTGACACTTCTTAGGGTAAAAATGATTTACTGACAATGACATAGAGGAATCTAATTTATTTAAAAGTAACCAAAGAATTAAAATATTAAAGTTTCAAAGACACATGTTTAAATCAATTTAATGTCCAATTTGGGCTGCGTGTTACATTTGATGCAAAAGACTTACAAGTCTTGGAACAGACTCTTGAGATTGTTTAGACCTTTTGTGGCCTTGGAGTTCCATGGCTGGCCACCCCACATTTCATTAGCAAATTGCTTGTAGACCTTTTCAGTGAGATGCAATGAGTCCCAAAACACATATTCATTTGGATTTTCACACAATTCAAACTCATTCACTATTCTTTTCCCTCCACAGCTAAACACTCCTCTAAATTCACCTGTCCCGCAGCATGCTGTTTTCCCTTCTTTAAAACCTTAATTTCATCACACACAATTACACCATTCAATATCCAATTGTAACTTCTAATATATTACACATCAATAAGCAAATGAATTTGCCTAAAAGATAACGAGTATGATTATGTTTTTGTGCTTATAGGTCAAGTCTAGATTTGGGCTGTCACTATTTATTTATTTTAGTTACATTGGCAGTTTTAAATCTATTTATACCATACTTTGGGCCTCCGTATTTAGACCTCGTATAAATACTCAGAGGACTCAAATGTAATTATGTAATAAATGAAGGGGCAAATATATAATAAGTGATGAGCCCTTATTCTATAAAAAGACTCCTCACTCTCCTCATTAAGGAAGGCCAATTCTTAGGCCATAGAGAAGGGCTCATCCTCACAATCAGAGGAATCCCTCTCACCCTCTCAAAGCCTCACTCTCATATTCAGAGGCTTTCTCCCTCACAATCCTCTCATAAACAGAGAAATACAATATCAGTGTGGACGTAGCCCAAACATTGGGGTGAACCACGATACATCTTGTGTTATTTACTTTCTTGCAGATTCACGGTCGGATTTACGTTATTCCAAGACCCCTCCTGTTTTGTGCACCAACAAAATCCTTACCATAACTTACTCTTAACTATCATCCTGCCCACCCTCATCACTAGGCGAATCCCAGTGTCTTAAAGCGATAATTATTTCATTCCGCCTCTAGTAGTGTAGGGAAAATGTTGTTTAAAGACATTTGTAGGATCGATCATAAGACCTAGACTTCTGTTGGTTCAGCCCTCTTTAGCAACAGGAAAAAAAAATGCACATAATAGAAAATGGTACTCATCAAGTTATAGGGTGCATTTGTAACCCCATATAAGAAGTTTCCAACGTGTTGTGTTGAACTTATTAATTGGTCCGATTCGGCAATAATGTTTACCTGATCAACTGAATTAAGACAACTAATTTGCTTTTGTGCATTTACGTACGTACCATATTTTGAGGGATGTCTGATTCTCTGTCTAAGATTGCTGTTCGAGTCGTAGAGTGAATATTTGAAACCCTCCAACTGGTTTCCAAGTTGAATGAGAAGTTTTGAGAGTGCTTGGTTATGTAATTTGGCAAGTGATGAAACCTCTTTTAAGCAGCTACCATTATTTTCAGGCTTGATTATTCTGACCCCCGGAAGACAACCCGAGTCCAGCAAGTTGATGAACCCAAATTTCCTACCCCCTCCTGCATAAATTTCCTGCCAAATTTACACCCAAGCAAACCATATAAAAAACATGGAAAGCGTTCTCCTAACATATGTTATGTTGTCATATTACGAGTCAACCACATTGATAAGTTATAGAGTCAGGTCGAATTTAAAATGTGTGGTTTTGACTAGCAATTTCAGAACATAACATTTCAGACTATGTGTATTGTGCTTAATGCATACTTGGATAACGCTTGTCAAGTTGCCGATGACCATTCCGACGTATTGTGAGCGAGGGTAGGACTTTAACATGGGAGAATTGGTTAGGAAAGGGCTTATGTAATCGTTGGTTCCAATGCTGAACAAGTAGACGGCTCTTGAAAGTGTCACTTTGGCTTCAACATTGCCTAACTTGTGTCTGAACCAGGTCTCTACCTTCTTATAGTACTTCAGTTGTGTCTTAAGATCAATGACCTGAAATAAGAGGGAATATAACACTTCTATACTATTTAGCTGCACTTTGTGAGTGTAAATTTTTCCGTATTTAGAAAAATTCTAAATGCAATGGTTATCTCATACGTGCGGTAAAATAAATTAATAAACAATTTTTTTTCAAATTATTTCGGTCTATTGTTTATTAAATTGAGGGTATTTTTGTCATTTGGTCCTTATTTAACATAATTTGTCAATGAATGACCAAAATGATTGATGAATGACAAATTTAAGGACCACTTCTATTGATTTTAAATTTCAATGACCAAAGTGATGAGTTATGCAAATTTCAAGGACATTTTTAGGTAAAAAATCATAAATTATTAATAAAATGATATGTAGTCGTTGTTTCTAGAGCACTCTACATCATTTTTAATTTAAGTCCACACAGACTTAAATGATATGGGCATGTTGCCGACCAACAATTAATAATTATGTGTCATTTTACTAATTGACTTCTTACACTATTTGTAAGGCGATACAACCATTACACCTAAAATTTTCTATTTTCTTACTTTCAACAATGTAATAGAAGCTAAACATATGTTTCATTTCCTCACCCTACTGAAGTAGCACATTCACAATATCCATACCAAATTGTACTAATAGCTGGCCATATCATAATATCACTTTGTCAAATGTAAACAATACCTACCTCGCCATGAAAAGTCTCAACAAGAGCACCAGCTCCGGCGGATGCGAAATTCGCACCACCATAATATTGGTGAAATCCCGGTTGAAGAAAGGGTGGAACAAATGGCAGGTGAGCGTACTCAGCTGCAAAGTACATATGATAATATACAAAATTAGATTAGATCATGCTTAAGTATAAGCAGACAAAACGATCTTGCGTTAGGTTAACTAGCTAGTTAACAAAAGTGGACATGTACAAACAAGGACCACATCATAGAAGATTTGCAAATCTTACCAATGAAGTCTGACATCAAACGTCCGTCGGAGAATCTTCCCGTTGGGAACTTGAAGTAGGTTTCTCCGTACGGCAAGAAATTTGCTTGGTCGAGAGTTGTAGTGTTGATGTAGTTGTTGTTGCCAGAATCTAAGTAAGAGTCTCCAAAGATGAACAAGGCAACTTGCCTTTTTGAAAGCCAAGATTTGCTTCCAAAACAAGTTGAGATTAGTAGTGCTGCATGGAGAAAGAAAACGAGGGAGATAAAGCTTTGCTTTGCCATTTCTGCAAAGTTATTGAATATATCACCAGTACATATATATAGTTATATACATATAGTCAAACAAATACAGAAACTTTGTTTCTATTTAGTTTGAAATTAAATGACCCTGTATATATATATATAAATCATGAGAATTGATACATCTGGGAGAGATGAATAAGAAAAACCTCTCCAAAGTCAAAATAATTTTGAGAATTTGAAAATATTTTTGTCCAAAGACAAAACAAATACTTGGCTCAGAACTAATACTAGGCGTTGAAAATTTGAACAGAATTTTTTTTTTAAATATATTTTGGAGGCGATGCAAAATTCTCAGCCAGCAATGTCCAAATAATAAAAGGTTGCAATGGTCCGAACCTGTGGAGATGTACTTTTTGTTTCATAGAGATTGAAGAAGTCAATTGCTCTTTTTGTTCCATGGCGACGGGTTTTGCTAATGTTAGATTGCTACAATCCAGGAGAGTTTAAGGGCGTATTTGAAAATGTATTTAAAATAAGTGAATCATTATTGGCACTTCAAAAATTTTATTCTATACTCCAATAACACTTTCCTAAAATAATTGAAAACAATTTTTGTGAAATATTTTTTGAACAAATTCTCAACAAAAATATTAGTAAATTTTGAAAAAAATACTTGAAGTGTTTCCTGAAAATATATAAGTGGTGTTTCTTACCATGCTTCTTTGTAACCCAAAACTTATTTTTTTCTAAAAACACTTTCAATTATTTTAAAAATACTTTCAGATAAGTTCTAAGTTGTTCAGAAATAAGCTAATAACATACATCAAATTTACACCTCCACTTATATTAGGGGCATGTAATTAGAGATATGTGGAGAGCGAAAAATATTAATGTTACGTAGATCGAAAGGCTTTATATTGATTCGTTCCGAATTGAACGGTTGATAAAAACTAGAAAGTTAGGAAAAGGAGAAACCGGAACCTACAGTTGCAAGGTAAAATGGGACCACTTGGTTCAATAAAAAAAATAAGTGTATGCCACTTTCTCTTTATCTCTCCTTTTTCTCTTCTTTCGGTCTTTCCTCTTCTCCTTCTTTGTCTTCTCTCTTCTTGAATAAAGTTGAGATTCTATTATAAAATTAATTAACAATGTAGATGTGAGATTCATACTCAACATGCTCTCTCACATGTGACGAATTTTCAAGTCTAACATGTGAACAAAACAAATCGGTTGACGTGGAGCACATGTTGCCATTACACTTTACACATAGGACAACTAAGCTCTGATGCTATGAAGAAAGTTGAGGTTCTATTATAAAACAAATTAGCAATATGAGGGGTAGTCCAATTACTTATAAGCACATGAAATGACTCTCATTTTCCTGAAATAATTCTCAACTGAGTAGTGGTAGGGCTGCGGAATGGAGAAGAATGAAGAGTGTTGAGACCCATTTTAAATGGCTATCTTCTACCATTTATGTTTAACCTACAATTTTAATTGAGAAAAAGAGAGAGTATAGTATCCAATAGTTTGTAGTACTAAAGAAAAACTCAAGTTACAGAATGAGCTAATAATTATACCGAACTTTCACCAATTTTTCTTAGTACGTATCACTTAATAGTTTGGAATTTCTTGTTGAAGATTCTAAGTATCATTGAGTACGTATCAATGAGCTTTCTATGAAGGTGTCTCACATAGAACCTATCATAGAAGATGCTAAGTATATGTTGCAACTGGTCGCTGAAGCTTCTGCTTCACACATAAACCACCAAGCAATCTCTGTAGCTCATGGGCTTGCTCGTTTTGCCCTCCATTCTTGAGGTGAATGTACTTGGTTAGGTGAACCCCCTACTCTAATTTGTGATCTACTTGAGAAGAATAACTTTTTCTCTGTACCGTGTAGCCAATTTTTAACTTTGAATGAAATATGTGATGTCTTTTATAGAAAACAAATATATGTGGTTTTCATGGTTCTCAAAGAAGTTAGCCGATATTAGGTCAGTGACCATGACATAAATTTGTACAATCTTTAGCAAAGGCGAAGTGTTAAAACGTAGATTAGGATTCTCTTCCCTCCTCTTTCCATCTCATTTCATTCCCTCATCTCACATTCTCTTTTTATAAAAAAAAAAATTAATATAAGATTCTCTTTTTATAAAAAAAAAATTAATATAAGATGTTAACGTGGCTTAATAGTGACCGTTCAAATAAGAGGAGAAAGAAAAAAAATAGAAGAGAATCCTACTCCGTTAAATGTAACCCCTATTACCTTTTTGAGATGTACTATAATGAGAGTCTTGCATGTCATCATTAAGATTTGAATGAATGATTGCAATCACTACTAGAGAATCCATCTCTCTCCACTAATTTTAAGCCAACAAAATTGATTTTTGTTGGCAAAAAAGTTTTCTCCTGATAAATTTTTTGCTTTGTTGGCTTATAGTCATTAAATTTGTGTCGACAATTAATTTGCAGGCAAAAAATATTTTTACTGACAAATAAATTGATAGTCGGCAAAGCATACAAGTTTTGTTGTAAAAAATAAGCGCATACTAATTCATTTTCGTGCCTTGGTCTTTCTTGTTCTTTTTTATTTAGCCGCTTCTTTTTTTATCTTCTTAAAATTCCCCCTCAATTTTAAAGTCATTGCAACTTTTTGATAAACTAGAAAGAGGAAAAAATGCATTTTCTTGAACCCTAATATTAATTGTCGATAGGCTACCCCTCCCCTTCTCTTTGAGATCGTAACTCTGCTTTTTGTCGATCTCGCTCCATCTGCTCGTTGTCACCATCGATCCGTCTGCCCATCATCACCGTCGCCCCATCTGTTATCCGGCCCCATCGAAGCGCCCCACCATTTCATGTGAATTGGGAGGGAAAGAAACTAAAAATCCGCAATGTGACGACCCGTCCCTAATTTTCTATGTAATTTCTCCCTGAATGTGTAAATTGACGTTTATGCCCTTGTTGGCAAAGTGATGTGGATGTGTTTATTCATTCTTAATTTATTTTTCTTGCTATCGTAATTAAATAGTACTCATTGTTACGAATGCGTGAGCGTGAGTTAGGCTCGAATCGGAGTTGTAACAAAAAAGTTGCGTTACATTAAAGTGCGTTAAAAACGGGTAGTTTTATTCATGGGTGCATTAATTTTACAGTGTTGGAAACACTATTTTGGATAGATTTCATCTGATTACGTTTGTACAAATCCTATCATTTTCCTTTTTTAAAATTAGACCTGTGCTCTATGCCTTGCACCAATAAAAAACCCATTCCCATTTTCTGTCACCTAATCAGAACTCTCACCTTTCTCTGCAACTGGAAAGAACGACCCTCAAACCTCACAAACAAAACCAACAAACTACATCATCATGTTGTTCTTGAACTCATGAACTCACGAATTTAACCATACCAACCGATCCTCGAATAGTTGAGTTTTGAGTGGTCAACTCGGAGTAACTTGGAAGCTCCGACTTGGTCGAGTTTCTCCTGACGTGATTCCGACCAAGTTACAAGGTTTTGAAGGTTATGGAAGCTTCTAGGCGACTCCCCGAGGTCCCTAGACTAAGTTTGGAGTGGAGTTGACGCGGGCATGTACGACTTTTAGGAGTCAAGTTTTTGGCCAAATGTTTCAAGCCATTTTTAGACCACTTCCGTCCACTTTTTGGACTTACAAAAGGTATAGACTTCTTCTACATTGTATAGTTTCCACAAATGCTTTTAAATTGGTTTATACATATTATGCCACGATTTACTTAATTTTAAAAATACCGTTGTGATTGAGTTTTATATTGTCATGGCATTTCATATGCATTTTTACTTTCTTATGAATATTGTACTGCTTACGAACACACAGGTAAGTTCAGGTAAGCTTGTTATGTTGATTGGGATTATTGAATCATTATGGCATGCTTATATTCATATAGTTCACTCATCATTGCTACTTCCCGATGTTAGTGCTCCCACCTCGGGCTAGGGCCAGTTCTTCACGTGTATGTTCACCACCCGCACTGCATGCTCGCTTTGGATCCAAGTAGATGCCAGTCCTATTGTACAGGTCACATTATGTCACATCCCAATCTCGACTCCGCCGTAGCACGATATTGTCCGCTTTGGGCTTACCATTCCATCACAGTTTGTTTCTAGGAACTCAGACGAGAACTTCCCAGTGGGTCACCCATCGTAGGATTGCTCGCCCGAACTCGCTTAACTACGAAGTTCCGATGGAATCCGAAGCCATTGAGCTCCCAAAAGGTCTCGTGCTATACGAAAGGGGAGCATGTACATATAAGGCACATCACCCCCTCTTTGTTGGTCGATGTGGGATCTTACAATCCACCCCACTTAAGGGGAACCCGACGTCCTCGCCAGCATATCCGCAGCGAACGGCTCTAGTCAATCAATATTCTAGCAAAGTAACCAAGAATATTTAACGTACCCATGATTAAGTCTGGATTATTCTATGCATGCCAATCTCGACTCAGCCGTAGCACGATATTGTCCGCTTTGGGCTTACCATTCCCTCACGGTTTTGCTTTTGGGAACTCAGATGAGAACTTCCCAGTGGGTCACCTATCCTAGGATTGATCTCACCTTTCTGTTTTTCGCCCCTCCAGGTCCTAAATAGCTGAATTTCTTCATGGTGTACGAGGAATAGCTGGGGATTCTGGCATACTCCAATTAAAAGTAGGAATTGTTTCCGGTTGTGTGCTAAACACTTATTTAGTTTCAACTGCACTGTTGATATCTATGCTCTGAATACTTGTATTCTATGGGTTCTACCCACTACTGCACACTCACTTTATTAGTTAAATTAAGTTCTTGTTACGATTTTAATTATTTACATTCTCACATCACTTACACTTTTGGTTACATCACCTTCGGGTGACGGCCAGCATGCCTCGACTCTGGTCCGAGTGTGTCATGCAGTACATATGTCAAATTAAATCAAGTCTTTGATTTTATTTATTTTATTGATATACATAGATACATATATGTATGTGTGAGACAACTAGGGTATGTATTGTAGTAAATCACACACATGTACATTGGCTTTGAGTTAAAATATAAAAACAAAAAAAAAAGGAAAAATTAGGTTCCTATCTCTATTTTTCCTACTCTATTATTAAAACCTTATTCATTTTCATTTTTTTTTTATCAAGGTCCTTAGATTTTAATAAACATCATTAATTTTTTCAACAATAAAATATTTTTATTTCTAAATACATTCATTTAGCATTTGAAACGTTACATTTGATATATTTATATTTATGTCT